GAAGAGCTGACTCAGAAGACATCTCGCACGGGGGATGCCCTTAGCAAAGAGGAATAAGCATGCAGGATGAGCAATTGGATGATCATGCACACAAATCACCGGGGAGAGGAGTCCGGCACAGGGGTAATCCAGCAAGAGCTGTGGATGCACACGAGGACCTGGAGGGAAAGTGCAATGTGCAGTCAGCAATAAAAACAAGGGGGAAGGGGAAGGGGGGGAAGTGCTCATGATCTGCTGGAAGAAGGAGGGGGTGCAATGGCAAAAGCACATGAATGAGAGTCCTCAAGGAAAGGTGAGCCCCGCAGCAGAAAGTTGCGTGTGTGGGGCAGAGGAAAGGAAGATTATGAATTGGAAGTGTTAGAACTGCTTCCTGCAGAGAAATGGCAAAAACACCCACAGAAACTCAAAGAGGAAAAAAAAAAAACCAAAAACAAACTTGCAAGAAAATCCAAAGATAGAGTTTCCTCTGCACACAAGGAGGTTTTGCTTCCAATTCACTTGCCACTGTGCTTATCTCAATATAATGCATTCACCCATCCCAAGTTCTCCAAAAAGCCTAGTGCACTAATAATTAAAAAAAAAAAAAAAAAAAAAGTTTACATCCCCTGAAAAAGGACATTATGCATATGATGAAATCTCCAAAGAAACTTTGTCAGGCTATGCTTAAAGGAAAAAAAAGGTGAAAAATGAAGTGTTTGCAGATGTAAGAGAACAGAAAGAAGAGTAAATGCAGAGAAGGGGTGAAAAAAGAAATAAAACAAAACCTGGGAAATACTGCTCATCTGGGGCTTGTTAAATGCTACATGACAGACAGGAAATGCTGATGGATTGCTTCATTGCATTGGGTGCCACACTTTCAGGGTCCTTCTAGACTGATAACATGTTTCCTTATCTAAAGGAAAAGGCACCTTTAGTGATGCTGAGGATGCTGGACTTTAGCAACCCTGCTGCAGATGGGTGAGCAGCAGCTGCAGGGCTTGCCAGCATGCCAGCAGGACATCCTTTGGGCTCCTGGCTTTTTTTCTTCCCTCCCTCTCCAATCAGACTAAATGAAATAGAGCTATTTGTGGGTTTAGAAGTGGCAACGGTTCAGCCTGCTCCATCCCCAGGTGCCAAAGGGTTGAAATAAGAGAAAACTCTTACAGAACATTTGTGCACTTTCCAGTTGCCACACAAGTAGCCGCAGGAACAGCCCAAGCCACGATTCAGCTTCTGAGCAGTCCCAGGAAAAGGATTAAGAAACTACCTTCACTCTTATTTTCAAGCAGGGGAAGCTGATGTGAAACTTGGCATGGTCAGGACTTGAAAGAAACCCCAAAAGTTGTTGGGTAGCAGCCAAGCATTCAAGCCAGCAGAGCAGAGGTTCCCAACACTGATGCTCTCTCATCCCCTCCCCACTCCAGGGCATCAGCAACTGCACCCAGCAAGATCCTCTCCTGAATTCCCTCCCTTCCCATTCAGGATCACATAACATCCCTGGGGCGATTGCTCACATGGAAAAGCAACATGAGGAAAGTATTTAATGCATGCTTATGTCTTTTAATATAGTGTAGCAGCTGGAATCAAAGGCAGAAACCCTGGGCCTCAGCACATGAGCATCACGACTCTCCACAGAGCCCCCCTTCTAATCACTGCCATTCTCTGGACCACAGCTTTAGAAATCAGGCACTAACCCCTATTGCCTAATTAGCAGAGCAGTGTAAAGCTTAGGAGCAGGCATATCTTCTTCCTCCCTAAGTGGCCACTGAATAAATGTTATATCCCCAGTTCACAGTCCCTTTTTACATTGCTGGCATTACCAGTCCTTTGTGTACCCACATGCTGTTACTTAAATTGCTTCCATGTTTTCATTACTTGCCCTCTGTGCTGTGTGTATTGAAACTCCTGCAAGAATGCTGAAGTGGTATTTCAAAGCACTGGGGACTACTGGAGATGTGGCTGGAAAAATTATGCAACAAGCTAAAGTGATTTTTCAAGTCCTGATAGAGTTTGCACCTCCTCAGGAGGAAAAATAAATTCCGGTGCTACTCCAGGAGGTGCAGGACAACCACTCCCACCCACCAGAGACACGAGAATGGCAGCTCAGTCTGGGAGGCCTGTGTGTATTCCCTGAATCCACAAGCAAGGTGGTAAACCCAAATAATGATGCTGCTCCCATGTGCAAGGGAAATGTGTATGTTGGGCCAAACTCTCCTGGCAAAAATCCATGGAGGACAGTGGAGTGATGCCAGCTGAAGGTCTGGCCCACTCATTTAAATGTGTTGTTCCTTCCTGCTGCTGCCAGTAGCTGCTTTTCTGGAGCTTGTGCTGATTAAAGCAACAGGCAATCAAACAGCCTAACGCTGAAATTTCAAAACCACCAGAATCATTTAAACGTGACAATCACTTTTCTTTCCCCCCCTCAGCCACTACTTCAGCTCTTGGTGGTTCTGCAAGTACACAGGGAAGGCTCCTGTGTGCTCTGCTCTCCCAGGGAAACACAGGGTTGGACCAGAGAGCTACATCTCCATGCAAGTTTCAACTTGCTCTTTCCTCCTAATTATCTTCCCCCAAAGATTTCTGTACCTGCCACAAGACACACGCGTTGGCCACGGAAGAAATTCTGCTGCCAGCACTGGAACTTTTCTCCCTCTCATTTCCAGCCTTCCCTTCCTGCAGTGCCTTTCATCACCCCGTTGACACAAGACGTTCACGGCCTGGTCCTGAAACCCACGAGCTGAGAGGCAGCCGCGTGAAAAATCCCTCCAGCTGCAGGGACGCAGGTTACTTCCTACCCCGGTGATGCAGGCTGTAGGTCTCCAGGCATCAAGCCCCTTGAGATCAGAGCACCAGGGTCTTCCAGATCCCTGCTGGGGACATCTCTCTGCCGCAGCTGTGCCTCAGCAGCTGCCGTGCGCGCGGCAGCCGTTGGGTGTTATGCTAATGGATGCACCGGAGCAGCAGCCCTCCACCCATCTGCTCACAGCATCCACCTGCTGGGTGGTAGGGTGGGTTTTTTTTTGGTTTTTTTTGTGTTCATTTTAATGGCCAGATTAGACCAGTCCTGACCCAGAGCGCTCCCAGCCTGAGCACAGGGTGTGAACACAGCCCCAGCCAGCTCGGACCTCACAGCACAGGAGCAGGCTGGATGCAGCCACGTCTGCTTCTTTCAAACTCCTTATCCTGCTGCAATTAAAGTCTCACCCTGAGCATAAACACGCTAACAAGGTGCATTTTTAGTTATTGTTCACACTGGGCTTGTTTGGTTTTTTTGTTTGGTTTTTCTTGCACATAACTTCCTTATACTTAGCTTTATTTATTCAACCTTTTCCAGTGACCCCCCACAGGAAAGAATACACCCTCCATACCCATCTGACTGGGTGATAAATAGAAATGAAAGCTCTGATTTCTATGCAGTCATTTTCTTCACAGTCATTGCATGGTAGGCAGTGGTTTGCAATTCTTTTTTTCTCCCTCTGTGACCACGGAAGGATTGCTTGTGACACCTTTGCTGTCACCAAGCATAGTCTCAGACAACTTCTGCTTCCCCTGAGACCTCTGCAAGCATTCAGGGAGGAAAGAAAAGTCGATACAAGACATTGCTTGGTGCCAAGACAGCCCAATAAGTGGGAAAATCCCTTCTTGGTGTGTTATAGGGCCAAACCTCTGCTGTGCTCAAAGGAGGTACTCCTTTCGTGTCCATAGAATGGACATGAAATGGACATGCCATTTAGCAAGATTCTGAGAAAAAAAAATCCACACACACACACACACACTTCAGCTTGTAAGAAAGGTACTCTAAGATTGAGTGATGTTAATCTCCCTGGTCTCTGCCTTGAGTCAATGGAAAGTGTTGATGCTTCAAAAAGTAATTTTGAGTTATGAACATTGTAGTGTAAGCCAGTCTGCTGAGGAGGATTTCTCCAGGGAGAGGTGGTGGCAATTAGCCTCCTCAAGGCTTCACATAGTCCTCTGAGCATCCATCAGGTGCATAATTTATGGGGAAAGAGTGATCAAAGCTTCATGAGTCGGAAAACCAAGTCATGCCCCAAGCTCTAATCAGTGGGTGCCTGTATCTCAAATGAATTTGTCCAGGTTTTGGAGATACTCATGAGTCTTTCATCAAATCTGGCTTCGTGTTTGAACTCATCATGGTGCCCACATGCTACTAAGGAGCCAGAGGTAAAGTTTTGTATTTGACCTGACCAAAACTCTTTTTTAGAATGACTAGGACAGAAAACACCACTACACCCAAAAAAATCATGAGCAGTGTTGCTTAATACACTCAAATTCATTTTAAGAACTAGGTGTAGGAGACACTACTGAAAAACCAAGCCAACAGCAAAACAAAAGGGTGTTCCAGAAAACAGCTCATACAAAGAAAGAATTTTCTTTCTTTTCCCATCCTTGACTAAATGAAAAAAATAAAAAGATCCTTTTTTACCCAAACAAAAAGTACCAAGAATTTCTCTGCAGAAGGATATTTCAAGGAAATGATAAGCATCTGGAAGAAAATGAGACTTATAATGGAAGTATTTTCTGTGGCATAACTGTAGTGCCGCTCGCACAATGCTGTAATCAAGAATAATGGAGCCCTTAACCCAGAATACAGGAATGAATTCAATTGTTCACCGTGCACATACCTCTATTTTAAAAATGCAGTTGAATGCTTTAACTGCCAAAAGGCTCGAGCATTAGCGCTCAGGCACAAAGCAGTTTAGAAGTGGGCTCCTTCATTTCTCACTCGTGTAATGATTAATCTTAAAACTCAATTACACACAAAAATAGAAGAGGCCCTGTTGAACTTTTGATCCCTTCTGAATTGTTTCATCTGAAGGATAGTTCAAGATCATTCCCGATGCATATGCGGTGGTGCAGGATGACACCCACCCTGTGCTCCTCCACGGCCAAACCTTTCCAAGGTTGTGCCTTGGATACGAACTGTTTGAGCAGGTTTATCCCTCCCTTTCTCCCTCTGCTCCCAGAAGAAACTGGAAATATTGTGAAACAATAGGACTTACCTTCTTTTTGGAGTGTGATCTGTCCTCCTCTTTAGCTGTTTTGCTATTTTTCCCAGTTCTGGAAAGCTTCTGCTCCCCAGACTGCTTGATGGTGATTTTGATCTCAGGAGGGCAGATATAGTTCTCCAAGTTCTTTGGGGGCTTCTTCGCTCTCTTGGTGGTCTGGATCTTTAGCTTTAAACTCCCCTCCGTGAAGTTTGCCTCCTTGATGGAAAACTCCTGCTCCTCCAGGCCATCTCCCGCCACCCACTTCTCGCTGTCCGCGTTGGAAGTGGAATCCACGTCTCTTCCGGAACCCAGCTCATCCTCTTCCTCTGGCTCCAGCCTCTCACTGCTCACCGGGATCCCTTTCCCCGAGCCTGCCACAGGCAGCATCGTCTCCCCTGCGCAGCCAGAAACAGGAGGAGGCTTCGTGGAGGTGACAGCAGCAGGCAGAAAGTCTGCCTCGCCTCCTCTCTGCCGGGAGCTGCTCAAAGTCTCCCTGGGCTCCATAGCAATACCACAATGCCCTGGAGTTCTGTCGGAGGGAAGGGGAGTGCGGGACGGGGTGAGGAAAGCAAGGGGCAGCTGCGATCCCAGGGAGCGAATGGTCACTGTCCACCAAATTCAATGTCCCGGTCACCCAGAGGCTGCAAGTTGCTCAGAAGAGACCAAATCTGCCACTGTCAAAAGAAAGAAGAAGAAAAAAGGAAGTTAGCACACATGCACACATATCCAATGAAACAGGGCACAGGGCAAACTCAGGCTTCCCCTGCAGCATCCCAAGGGCTTTCCTTGAAGCAAAATGGCAACCAAGGCAAAAAAAAAAACCCAAATACCCAAAATTTTTCTCTAAATGCCAACATCTTCAGCTCAACTTAGGAATTAAAGGAGGGGCCAGCCAGTTCTCCACAACCATGAACCTCCCTGTTACTACAAAACTCTCACAGGGTTTTCAGAGGGGAAGAAAGTAGAGGCAGATACTTGCCTTGGGTTAAACAATAACCTATTGATCAGAGCACAGAAAACATGGTGCTGCCCTCTGAATCACCAAACTCTCTATTTCCCCTTTTCCCAGGTATGACAGAGAGATGCCCTGGGCTGCCAGGTGTTCTGAGGAGGGCCCTGGTTTGGATCAGTTATTCATTACAGATGACTGCAGCCCAAGAAGCAGCCTGGGGTGCTGGAGGTGCAGGAGGATCCATTGCAGGGTGATGGAGAAAAGCTGCTCTCAAGGTTTTCCAGGGTTCCTCATGCCCTTGGGTACCACTGCTCTGTGGCAGAGCCTTGGGCTGGCTGATGCACACACTGTGCTCTCATCCATGCAAATTTTGTCTTTCTTTAGAACATCAGAGATGGAACCCTCTGATACGGAAGCACCCATACTTGGTGCCTTATAAAGTCTCAGCTAAAGTTAAGGGGAAAAGCTTGTGAATGTTCAGCTGAGACAAAAGCTGTGTCACCCAATGACATTGAAAGGCTAATATCAAACATCTTGTTAAAAATAGCACTTATATAGTGGTTTTTAAAGGTATTGGGGTGCTTTCACACAGCCCCCCTAAAAACACCCTATTGCCACCCCACACACACACCCATCATGGCAAGTGAGTTTAGGTTACAGAATTAGCAGAGGAGTCTAAAAAATTGTAGCCTGCAAAATTAGCAGAGAGAAATAAATATATTTTCTGCTACTTTAGGAGAAACAGCTCCCCACTGGATCAGAGGAGTAACACTTCTGGCATATGGAGAAGGAAACAAGGCGGCACTGCCAGGAGTAGGTGCATGAGGTGCAGACTGACTCTTTCAGCAACAGCTCCCTGCTAGATTAGCTCTGCTACACTCAACCAACTACAGTCAAGATCTGAGCACAGCTAGGGATTTCCTAGGTCATTTTGAGCAGCAATATATAAAGGAGAAACAAAAATGATCATGCTACCTGTCACCAAATCAGAATAGCAATGTCAATGAAGACTACTCTAAAACACATCTCACCCAGAGAAAACACGTCCTTGTATCACTGGCTTCTTTCAGCTTTTTAAAGGTCCCTTGCAGGAGCTTGAAATTGAACAAAAAGCGATAACAAGCACCTTTTATTAGTTATAGATCCACATTTACACTGGAGTGTGGCCATGGGTCACTTGTCTGACCTGGGCACATATGGCTACTAATGAAAAGTCCTAAGCATCCTAGAGCTCCATGAAATCATTAGATGACCTCCACCGAAGTCCAAGAAGTCACAAATTCAAATAAAGTTCCCATAAATAGCACAAGCTGACAACCCAAGCAGAAAGAGGAAAAAAAAAAAAAAAAGGGAGAAATCAGAGCCTCAATTGCCATCTGGCCTTAGAAATGGTTTCTGTGGCTCAGAGGAGATAGAAATACACCATCAAAACACTTGTACTTAAGATGCACATCTCCTGGAAACAGGAGGAAAGATTCATTTCCCACAGCTGCCGCCACTGGTCTCATTTAGGGTGATCTTGAGGAACTAACAGACCCAAGGTCTCCTGCATACCTGCCCTGACTCACCCTCAGGTCAGCAAGTCTCTCCACTTCACCACCTGGGAAACAAGGATCACGCTTACCACCTTCAAACCCATCCTACAGTGGGTTAATGTCCTTGCATAGTTTTGAACCCAAGTGTTTACCGTGTGGTAGTTGCTAATTACTAACGCAATTAGTACCTTAAAGCCACCCAGCAGCAAGGAACTGCTCCACCTAATTTACTGACTTTGCACCTTGCCTTGCCTCTCTCTCCTTTGTGCCTGTGGAGGTGATGGCAGTCAGAGCTGCCACCTTCCTCTTCCAACCGGTCCAATTAAAGAAAAAAAAAAAAAAAGCCCTGCCCCCCCCCCCAAAAAAAAAAAAAAAAAAGGACAAAAAAAAAAAAGCTGTCTTATTTATCTGCCATTTTGCATTGTTAATCTACTTGGAGAGGGACACAATGTACACACACTCCTGGGCTGCAACACAAACACAAGGTGGTAAAAGCTCGGCGGTGGTGCAGCATTCCAGAGAGTTACTGCTCTGGTATGCACGCATGTACAATGGGCACTCTGTGCTGGCCTCCGCCCACAGGCTTTTAACCTCTGTCACTGCTGGGTGGAAAGGGAAGGCTCTGGCAGGCAGCTCCTAACTCAGCACGATGAGTCTGCAGCCACCGGGGGTGCGAGGAAGGGGCCACGGCCACCACACCACAGACACCAGCGCAATGAACCAACCCATTTGGTGCCTCGTGTTCAACGGGAGCTTAAATACAGCTTATGGCTCCCAGCCAAGGAAGGGTCTTTCAGGTTTTGAGTCAATGGGTAATATGTTTTATGGAGGGTGAATGAAAAAACAGGTTTCTGCACCAGAGTCTGGCTGTGGGTCTTGGACCCAAACTCTGGGTCATAATGTCCAAGCACTCATCCCAGCTTGGCCGTGTGCTTCCAGGTCAGCATAAACAAGCAACAGATGAATATTACACCCATGTCAAATGAATCCATGCCAAATCCACCTTAAAATCCAACTTAAAATACTGGCCTCCTGCTCTGCCAAGAGCTTGCAGGTGATGATATCACCAGACCCGCAGGTAGCAACAAATAACCCTGTGCTCAAATGCTGCACACAGAATTAACTGGGTCATTGTTTTAAGTATCTTCTTACCCTCCTCCAGGGTTAATAGTTAAATGATTTGGGTGCAGGGACATCACACTCGTCTTTCTAGTTTGGGCAGGCTACCTGTGCTTTGACTAATTAGAAATAGCACTTCAGGCTTCTGAATGTGTAACTCTTATTGGAAACCTCCCTACCTTCCCTCTCCAGGGTGCCTGCAAGCAGAATCACACAGTGGTTTGGTTTGGAAGGGACCTTAAAGCTCATCTAGTTCCACCCCATGCCACAGGCAAAGACAGGTTCCACTATCCCAAGTTGCTCCAAGCCCTGTCCAGCCTGGCCTTGGACACTTCCAGGGATGGGGGAGCCACAGAGTCTCTGGGCAGCTTGTGCCAGGGCTTTACCACAGTCGCTGGAAAGAATTTCTTTCTAATATACAAATTGAACCTGCTCTCTGTTCGTTTAAAGCCATTCCCCTTGCCCTACTGGTGGAAGAGCTCTATTTCTGTTTTAAACAGTATTTAAGCTCTATTTCTATTTTAAACACCCAAGACATGGGGGCTGCCGCCTGGAAACTGCCCTTCCAGGGCTCCAGTGCTCTGCAGCATCAAGTCCTGTTCAATAAGCAGCTACAGAGGTGTCCAAATTAGGCTCACAAAGTGTTACTGCTAGCAGGCTTCCTGCAGTCAAGTTACATTTAAGGAGGATAATTCACAGGTGAATGACAACAAATTTCACAGAAGCTGGCATTAGCTCTTAATTAGGGAGAGATTCACGCTTCCTCTGATAAGTACTGAGAAATAATCAAATGCCTGCTTGCTCAGCCTTGCTACCAGTGCTCAGGTTTCTTATCAGCTCCTTTGGGTCATACTGGATGTCTTCCATTAAGGGTTCTGAATACGTTCCCTTCTCCTGCCTCAGGCAACTGCTCATGCTTGTAAGTGTTCAGATGCCAGGGCTATAAAGTGATTAAAGTGAAAATTTGCTGAGGACAAAAACAGAGGTGAGAGCCCACAGGAGGTGGGGAGAAATCCACCTGTTTGGGATTCTCCATGAAATGGAAGTGGACAGAATATTTGGCACGGCTTTTGCCCTAAGATTGTACTCGATGATCTTGGAGGTCTTTTCCAACCTCAATGGCTGTGTGATTCTAAGTATGAGAGCAACTGCATTAGTAACAAGCAAACATTGTTTTGAGACATGCAGGCAAGGCAGGTTCAGCTGCCCAAAGTTTGTGCTCTTCCTCTGAACTGCTCAAGCACCAGGAGCACCAGCAGGGAGCTGGGAGCAATATCAAGAGGTGCTGCCCAAATCTCTTCTACACTAATACCACTGTAGGTACTGAGACTTGCATTTTGGAGTCTGTGAATACAATTACTTAGGATGAAAAAGAAAAAAAAAAATCTATTGAGCAGGTTCGAGTGAGTCAAAACTGAGGCACAAGTCTGAGAGTGTTGTGGTGGATACAAAGTAGAGGTCACATCTTTTCTGGCCCTGTATCTATCAGGTTGCCTTTGGATCTTGTGTTCTCCCATGGGACGTACACTCAGATCCCTAATCTGTGCAAAATATCAGAAATCCTGGAAGCCTCTTTACACTCAATCTTTCTAAAGCCATTCACTACAAAGCACTGGAGACTACCCAACAGTATTTAATGATGAGGTATCACCTTTCACTCCCAAGGCTCCCAGGTTGCTTCCATGATTATATGTGCCACTGTTGAAATGCAGCTGGCTCTGGGGCAAAGGCCAATGGACAACCCACATTACACTCAAGGGAAAGTGTCTGGGCAATGCTGTGAAGCACAGGGTGGGATTACTGGGGTTGTCCTGTGCAGAGCCAGGAGTTGGACTCGACGATCCTTGTGGGTCCCTTCCAGCTGAAGGCATTTCTGTGATTGTAAATCCCAACCAGACACAACCCTCAGCATCCTGCCCTAGGTGAACTTGTACTGAGCAGTATGGTGGGCTGGATGATCTCCAGAGGCACTTCCAACCCCCAGACATCACATTTTCTGTGATGTATTACTTGGCCTCCATTTCCCATGCTGAGCAAATTTGTCTCTCCGCTGCACAACAATTTTAAA